GAGCTGTCGAGTCCCAGCCCGAGCTGAGCTGCTGAGCTGCCAACAGGCGGCAGGATGGCCCAGCTAAAAAAAAAAAAAGATTGGTTCAAAATGAAACTGAAGAGTGCAGCCAGCCTGGCCCCACCAGTCCCTTCAAAACGAGGACTTGGCTCAATTGTTGTAACTGAACTGGGCACCCTCAGGCCTACCCGCCTGCCAGGAGGCCACCCTGAGGCACCGTTACCAACATGTAAACACCACTTTGTTTGCAGGGGTGTCATCTATGCCCCAGGACTGTACTTAAATGGGAGGCAGCTATAACTTCCCTCCCTACCTAAAAAAACTTGGTGATTTTTAGATTTAGTCATAAGAGATCTTTAAGTGTTTCAGGAAACATCATGAATTGATCAGACAGCCCTCCAAAAACTAAGGAGAACTCTCTAAAATTAGGCTGCTCTTTGTTGCTCGGGGGAGATTTTCAGAGGAATAACAGAGTCATTATTTACGCGTACCCCGAGGAATTACCCCTACAACGGGAGTCATACAGTTTGTAAAAGCAGTACAGAATTTGCTCCTGACTGCAGCTGAAGAAATCATGCCTTGCTCCTTGAAGGCATTCAGGATGGTCTCAACAAACTGGTGAAAACTGTTATGGATGGTAGAACTGCCCGAGACTTCCTCCTGTGGGCTGACACAGAGTCCTTGCCGTCGCTAAGATAGCCTGTGTATCTGAATTCATGCCTCAGACAAAGTGGAAGGGTCAATATGGACAAAAAGGAGATAGCCTGACTTTCCAAGGTAGACTTAAGAGATTTATTTGGCTGATTGAGCCTGAGAACCTGGGGTTCATACTTGAAATCAATATTGCAGGTGGCCTTATCCTGGAGTACTACTGAGTAATTCATTAATCACATAAAAAGCAAATTGAATAATTTGGTCCCCACCTCTGTAAGTCGGGTTAATCAGAGTCATTGACAAAGTGACGGAATTATGGGAAATTATTTCAGACACCGAGGGGATATAGACATGAGAGTGGTTGAGTGAACATCTCCTGACGTCGCTCGTGTTTCTGTATGTTCTGTGATCAGAGGAACTGGCTATCTGTATTCTGTACTCCGAATGTCTTTTCAAGACTGTATGGTGAACAGCTTTGGAATATAGAGATAGGAAAGCCCTCAAAACAAAGGTCAGACGTTCTCACGTCCTGTTACAAAAGGCTCAGGATCCCTAAGCTCAGGGTGTTTCTCTTGTAGAGCTACTGCAGCTGACGTCGTCATCGGGCCCTCTGAGAATAAGTGACTGCGGCACCCGTGCCGCCAGGATGACACTCCGCTGCACTGATGTGGGTAGTGTCTCTCGTCTCTGACACAGGTGCTCCTTTCTTCTTCCAGCATCCGTAACACTGTGGCAGTCTCACTTGTTAGCTTGCCACGAGGACAGGCCTCCAGTGCTGTGTTCTCCACTGCACTGTCGCCGTGAGGGAGGAAAGCAGATTAGGAAGGGGAGGAGTTAAGCAATACCGTGGTTTCAGATGAAGTTCATGCTTACCCGCATCGAATGGGGGAACATGGAGTCCATCCCACTAGAGGTGAGAGTGGGTCTTTTGTATACTCCACCCCAGTCAGTGATTGGCTCTGGGCCACCCTGGGGTGTTAGTGGGGAGGGCACCCCACCCAGGTACCTCCTAGCAAGGAAGCTCCAAACACACAAGGGCTATCTAGCTCCAGAGCCAACTGAAGCTGGATTGGCCACAGAACCCCTGCGTCTTGTCAAGGGGATCCCTGGGGCACCGACTGTGTCTGCTACCATGACGTTAATGAAATGCCTCCAATATGGATAGCAGTGCTCAAAGGAGGGCGTAGTTCAAATACAGATTGAACCATGAAAGAAAAGAAGCGATTTTGGGGCTAGGATGGTGGCCCAAGACAAGGCCAAGTCAAGGAGAAGCAGTAATCTGGTGGCCCCAGAAGCTGGCCATACTGGCGAAAGGGAAAAGCTAGAGAAAACGGGAAGGCCGCTTTTCCGGCCTAGCTGGATTTGCCTTCTCTTCCCCTTCAGAACTTAGTCCTGGCAAACCACCAAAGGAAAAGCATGACCTCTCCAGACTTTGGAAGAAGGAATGTCTGACTCTGTTCATTTCTCTGGCTCATTTTTCTTTTAGGTTATCTGTCTCTTTCTTACAGATCTCTAAAATTTTTATGTACTCAGGATATAAGCCCCTTTTCTATATGGCTAACTATTTTGCTAATATTTTATTTAGGGTTGATTCATCTATGTTAATAAACAAAGTTAGCCTGTAATGTCCCTCTCTTTTATAGTTCTTTCCAAGACTTAGTATCAAATTTATGCTGGTTTCATAAAACAATTTGGGATGTAGTCTTTCTTTTTCTTCTCTCTGAAATACTTGGTATAAAGTTGGAGATATTTCTTTTTTACATGTTTGAAAAAACTCACATATGAAGTCATATGTGTCTAGAGTGTATTTTGTGGGATGTTCTAAATTATGGATTCAACTTCTTCAGTTGGTTCAGGGCTATACAGATTTTCTATTAATTCTTGTGTTCACTTTAATAAGCCACATTTTCTAGGAATTTTATATTTTATCTAAATTTCAGACTTTTGTGATACATTTATTTATAATAGACTTAAAATTGTTAATATTTGAAAAAGTCTGAAAAGATATGCTTTTTAATTTCTGATATTAGTTATTTGTGCTTTTCCTCATTTTTATTGAAAAACCTCACCCGGAGTTTATCAGTTTTATTATTTGTGTCATAACAAAATATATTGATCCTCTTTATTCTATCCCTATTTTTCTTTCCTCTTCTTTAATTTTTTTGTCCTTTTACTAACTTCTTTATTTGTATGTTTATGTCATTTGATTTTCAGACTTTCTCTTTTTTTAAATAGATGCATTTAAGGTTATAAATTTCCTACTAAACACAGCAAAAATTATATCCCAGAAAAGCTGATAAGTATTTTTCTTTATAATTGAGATAAGAATATTTTCTATGTTCCATTTTTCCTTGGCCCATGGGCTATTTAGAAGTATATATTCTAATTTTCAAGAATATGAGAGTATTTTTATTAGATTTATGTTATTAGTTGCTGTCTTAATTGTACTGTGGTCAGATAACAGATAAGACACTCTGTGTTATTAAACTTTTCAATATGGTATAATTAACTTAATGGTCCACCATATTTTTGTAAATGTTGCACACGTGTCTGACAAGAATGTTTACTCTGAAGCTATGGATGCACTGATTTATATGTGTCCATTTGGTCAAGTTTGTTCACATCTTCTATGTTCCTACTGAAATTTTGTCAAGAACTCCATTTATTAGTTACTGAGACAGTTGTCTTAAGTTCTTTCACTATGACATTAGATTTTTTCTACTTCTCTTAGTTTGTTCAAATTTTATTTTACATATTTTGAGGTATAAACACATATTTAGAATTGTTACATCTTCCTGGAGAATTGATCATCATAAAATAGCTTTCTTTTTATAGAGGAATGACTTCCTCCTAAAGACTACTTTGTTTGATATTAATGGACTTTTTTTTTCAGTTACTGTTTGCATGGAGTGTCTTTTTCTAAACTTTAACCATCGACCTTTCTGTATCAGTTGTCAAATTGTGAGCAGGAAATAATTGGATTTTGTTTTTTAATCTACATGGCAATCTTTGTCTTTCAGTAGGAGGCTTTAGTCAACTTAAATTTGATATAATTACTGATTTGGGGGGTTAAAAATAGCTCCTTATTATCAGTGAATTTGCCCTCCTTACTGTCCTCTATATATTTGTAGTTGATAATGCTCTTCAAATCTTATTTTCATTTGATCTGTGGGTTATATGAGAATATTTATCAGAAATAAATGAAAAATAGGAATTGAAGCCTAAGATGAGCAAAAACATCATCTGATCTCAGAAAATTATGTCTAAGAATATTGAGATTACTTTGAAAAACATACAATAAAACATTGTCAGTGTTTTTGAAGAACCATCGGGAAGAGAAGTGCTAGAAGCACATGACCACGTATGGTTTTGATTTTTCAAGAGAAGAAAGTAGATTAGTTTACTCTTGACAGCAATCTTGAGGAAAATTCTAAAATTAATGCCTTAGAATAATTCGTGAGGCAATTTTCAGATGGAGAAATTGTGACTATCCAGCCAGAATGTATTAATATAAAATGTCAGACAGAATTATTTACATTTCCTTTTTCTGAAAGAATTACTAGACCAGCAGAACAAAAAGTGATGGAATTCAACAAGCCATTTGACACTATACCCAGTGCACATGCTGGGGAAATTTGTGCTGTTTAAGATAACAACTTGGTACGTTGAAAACTGATTAATCAATGGATGCTAAATGTACCAATAAATTTCCTTGACCCCATTTGGCTCACCATTTTAATCAATGACTTGGATAAATATATTGAACAGGATGTTTATAAAATTGGTGGGTGACAAGGAGCTGACAGAGGAGAAATATATGTTAAATGGCAGAATATGGTTTAAAAGCATCCCTCAACCAAACTTCATATTTAGAGTGAATAAATGTAAGGTCAGAAACTTGAATCCAAATATAAACTTGATGAGACCAGGCTTAACAGTTGTATGTACGAAAAAGATTTAGAAACACTTCTGATCTAAGTTGAGGGTAAGTTCAATATGAGACATCAGTGCAATGGAACTTCCAAGAAGTCAATTTGGCTATTATCTTGAAAGTATTACATATCAAAGAGAAAATGGAACTGGTCAGATATACTTGGAATATCAAGTTTTTCCCTCAGTAATCCCGTAACACCCACTGAAATGTGGTATCTCATCCAAATTCTAGAAACCAGAGTTTTCACAAAGCAATGGAAAACTCCAAAGGCAACAGAAATTCCAAAGTGAAGGAATGTAACTTGGCGATTCCCTTGATGAATGATGATGGTTTGGATATCTGGAATGCCACGACCAAAGACCAGCTGTTGATATACCAGCGCAAGATCAAGTTTCGCAAAGATACCCCCACGTCCTCCCCCTGAAATCCACAGAAAGTTGCAGGCAGTAGAAAGAGTAGGTACCGTGGAAGTGCTGCATGAGCGACGCACTTGAACTCTGTATGACTTCCTTTTCCATCAGGCATTACTGACACATAGGGCTCCAGGGCATAGTGATTCATTTAATCCTTTGCAAAGTTTTCCTTCATCATTTTCCCTCTTAGAGCAGTTTTTCTCAAAATGAGATCCAGAGACCCTGTCTTCCTCGAGAGCCATGTCAGTGGCGATCTGTGGGAACACACTGAGTTAACAGTATATTTTAATTTCAAATAGAAGTTTCATGTGGCATCAAATAACACAAGAACACACTTTTTAAAAATCAGTTGCTTCGATGACTTAAATATAAACAGGGGTACCTCGTCCCATTCTTCCCCAGACCCAAACCTGTTTGTATGAGACCTGATTTTTATTATGTTTTAACCTCTCTGGAAGCTGTTAGGAACTTGTTTTTGTTCCCTGAATTCTAAAACTTTGTATCGTGCTATAGTGTGTGTGTTTTTTTTAACCAATATACTTTTTGTCGTTTCTTCTGCTGTTTACCATATTCAATCTCTATGACATGCTTAGCTATTATGTCTTGGCCTTGTTTTAGATATCTGTTGAGTCTATGACATAGGACATCACATGCACTTCCAGTGCACCCCACTCTCCAATTAAAATCCTCATCTCCCTCTCACTATAGTTATAGCAGAGTTTGGATTTAAATCAGTGTATTCAGTTTACCATATTACAGCTATCTAAATATAAATCACAGTTAAGCCACACGTGTTATCTTTCCTGTATTTAACAACATTTTGTATTGCCTGAAGATATAGATGACTTATTTCTTGTTTGCTTAGTTTTCTATGGGTCAATCAATAATTCATCACTAAAACTCTCTAATATAACTGAATCTCTCCTTTAAGTTCATTCAAACACATGAAATATCCTATCAGTGGACTATAGCTTTCCTCGTGAAGATGTGCGTCCGGGAACTCCCTTCTCTCGCCCTAGCACTTCCGGCTGCTCTCTGGAACGGCTGTATGGCTGTCGTCATGGGCCTTTCTCATCACCCCGAGACTCCTCTTTGCTCCCTGGGGTGTTAGCATCCCTGCTTCCTGGGGCTTACCCCTACCTCTTTCTTGGTTTCCTGGTCATTTTACTGGAACAGATGGTTTGAAGGCCTCCTGAGAAAGACCAGGAGAAGATGCTTTGAGACCTTCCATGTCTCGTAATGTCTTTATTCTAACCTCACATTTAATCAGTTGTTTTCCTGGCTAGAACGTTCTAAATTGAATATTATTTCCCCTCGGAATGTTTTGAAGTAATTGATCCACTGTTCTTCAGCTTCTGGTCTTACTGTTGAGACTGACTCTCATTCTTGGGGCATATTCCTGTTTCATGGATGTAGTGTTATTGGTGGGCAGAGGACTTGCGCTCTTGACTCTAGGACATGGTGTCCATTTCCTGGAGAATCCCAAACCGTAAGTATGCCTTGTGGCCTAGTCAGCTTCCCTAGAAAGAAATCTTTCTTCTCCTAGTGGGGGAATATAAGCCTAGCTGGCATTATCCTGGCAACCAAAGGGGGAAGGGGGCAGGAAGGGGATTTCACAAATCAGCGTCAACTTTCACTTAACCCATTTTCATCAGTTGTCTCTCGGCTGTTCTGGTGTCTCCAAGATCAGATCCCTCTAGTTTAATCTCTCCTGAGGCTAAAACACCCTTCGTCTGCCATAGTCGGGGACAGACTGCCCTTCTGCTGTAGGGGGCAAAGAATGGGGTCCTGGGCTCTAATTGCTGCTTATACCAAACTTTCAAGCCCACTTCCTGCTTCCAGATTTAACTATTCCCCTGGCTCCAGAGGTTTCTGAAACCTTCAGTTTTGAGTCTTGGGGAGTTTGAAAGTTCAAATGGACTTTTTTCTGGTCTCTCCCCATTGCTAGCTTAGATGTCTGCTTTCTCTTGTCTAGAAATGTTAACTGTCACTCACTCTTCTGCTTTACAGATTCCAAAATATTGATGTCCTCTTTTGTCTGTTCTTTACTTCTTTCCTATTTCCTGTTTTCTT